AGAGAGAGAGAGAGAGAGAGAGAGAGAGAGAGAGAGAGAGAGAGACTTTCTTTCCCCTTGATATACCACTATTTAAATACAACAGCACAGTGAGCAGTGCTAAATGTAGACACTGTAAAGGGTAAATTCAAGGCAGTGAAAAGTCTTGCTTCATTTTTTAATTTCTTTTCAGCTACTGCAAAGTTGAAAAATGCCTTTTAGTTACTGACAATATTCCATTTCTACCTTCAATATTGTTTTGTTAATTAATTAACATGACAAAGAAAAGCCAAGGATTCTTCCCAGTCCCTCACCACCAAATTCTTCCCAATAATTCCCTTGCTCCTACATAAGAAAACTGAACACACAGACTTAAACCATTCCCCCCTCCCCACAAAATAGTTACCTACCAGCTCAACTCTTCCAAAACCTCCAACTCCAAGGGTGTCAATGATGTTGAAGTCAGACAGTTTCAGGTTGGCGAAGAAGGCAGCTTCGGCTTCATATCTGGATTTTTTAATGCGAAAAAATGGAAATTTCTTAGATGTATATATATGAGTACTATGTAATTCTGTTCCCAGCTGGCATGGACGTTGAATACGGTTTACCACCTTAATTTCCATCTTGTCTGTTAAACTTTCTTTGTTCTCTCAACCATGGTTTAATTGGTCCCAGATCCACATTCTGTTTGCTTTTTTGCCCCCCTCAAAATAAAAAAAATCAAATGTTCCAACAGCATCTCTGTAATGCAAATGCTTTGCACTATAATTCAATTTCAGTTATCAATTGAATGCTACATCTTGACAGTTTCTATTAGTCTTCTGGTGAGGATTTTTGGAGGGTTTTTTTTTTCTTTGAGTAATTTTGGAAGATAAAGTCTTTCATATGAGTTTCCCTTATCCACAAGCTGGTAGAGTTTCTACAGATGTTTATTGAAAGTGGCAAGATCATTAAGGTCCCCAGAGAGAAATCACAGACAGGTTTTATGAAATCAGATCCAATGAGCTAAGAAACTGGTCTGTGGTTATCTGAAAGGAATTGTTTCGGACACGCATTAACATTTCTAAACAAGCATTTCCCCCCTGCTACATTTCAAAATTTAGTATCCAGATTCCAAAAGCGTGTGGTTCCCAAAATCCAGAAGCTGTCTCCTTAGTCTGTGTACGGAGTGGCTTGTAATAAAAACGTATGAACTATGCAAGCCATGTGAAGCTGACACATGCATGCGTGCCAGAAGTAAGCCTCCCATGGGTATACCCATGCACATGTACCTCTTAAAATAGTTTCTTGTTGGGGATTACAGTATTTTTAGAAAGGCCAAGAGGGTAAATGGAAGAACAGGTTCCACGTACTTACTGAAGTTTGATCTGGGAACGATTTAGCTTCCAGAAACAAGACCAGATGTATGTGCATGACTCAAGCACTATCTTTGTTCTTCAGAACTGTATATTACAGCAGGGTTACCATGTAGGGACATAAGGGTTTCCCAAGCAATTTAAAACTGGCTGCCCGTAAGGTCATATCAGGTTACCACATCACACAATCTAGTGGAAATTAGTGGCAACTTAATCGGTTGTATCCTTTTAGCTGTGCTAGGCCAACTGGATATAGGTGTTTTCCTAGATCTTACCCGGCAGCTCACACTTCTGTGTACTTTTTTCCCTTTGAGCAGCCGATTGCTGGTGTCTCTCTTCTAGCTCTCCAAAGCAAGTTGCCATGAAGTATAAGCACCGTGAGCCACGGTGAGCCATAGGCACACAGACCGAGATGCAAGGGGCCAATGGCCAGTGCATTTAATTTATTAGCACAGATTTTAGCACACTGAATCTAATTTTATGTTTAAATGGTCCAAATAGGAGATGGATGAACTCTATAAAGAAAGCCACAGCCTTGAACTTGGAAGAGCTGAGTGGGGCTGTCCTAGACATCGCATTTTGGAGGGCTTTCATTTCTTGATGGCACATAACAACAAAGATGTGGATTTTTAAAGGAGCTTGGTGCTACAACTGTAGGTAACATTGCTAAGTTTTGCTAGTTCTAATTACTGAATGATACACCTCAGCTTGTTCTAGAGACGATTTAAACAGATATTTTGGGTGCTTCTTAATGTGAATGGCAGGTGTGCATTTAAAGATGAAATGTGCATACAAAGTCAGCCTTAGTTATTATGCTTGGTGATTATAGTTTAAGGTCTCAGCATTTTATTCAGAATGCTACAGTCAAAATAAACTGTTATACTGCTCCTGAACTTTGCAAATCTTCCACTCTTTCTTTCAGTGTAATCTATGTATACAACCTGTCTGCCTTATCTGACTCACTGTAGATGATTCAAAGATGGAATGTGACCAATTCCGCCCCCCCCCCCCGAAATGCTTGAATTCTTCTTTTAAAGAAAGCACCTTGCTTGGATGGGATATGTAGCCTTCATGTTTCAAGTGCCCTAGAATCAGGGAGCCAGTACACAAGACACTGGCTCAGTTAGGCTTGAAGTGAGAGAAGCATCCGGCATCCCTGGCAGCTCCATATCTTCCCTGTCTCACATACCTAGTGGTCCCAGAGAGAAAGGCTTTAGTGGTAAGGAGCAGCAGATAACATCAGAGCCAGAGTCTGGGCTTGCTGGGTTATAACTGCCCCCCCCCCCCATCAGTCTCCTCCTCACTGGGTGCAGAGGAAGAATATTTTGTGATGATGGCTGCTGCTCAGCTGATGAGTCCTGTGAACATAAAGATAATGGTGGCAGGATGCCACACTGCTGGGAGACCCAGCCTGGAACTCTTCCTGGAGCTTGGGCCATAGCAGGTGCCCTGCTGCATTGAACTCTGATGATGGCTCTGAGAGGGAAGTGTGGCAAAGAAACATTTTGCTAGCGTTCAACTGCTCAGCTACACAGGCCACAGGATCACATACACGATACAAGGAGGCAAGAAAAGGGGGAATGAACCCTGCAAAATGAATTGCAAAGTAATCCTGTTTCAAAGGGTTCTGATGGCAAATGATTTGAACTCTGTGTTACTGTTTGCTTTGCTTCACTCTACTGGGTCCTTTCAATAACCTTGCATCTATAGTCATCACATTTCATCGGATCTTGGAAGCTAATCAGCACTGAGCCTGTGGTGGTTCATGGAATAACCTTGTTTGACACTGTTGCTTATTGATCATTTCACATTTGCCATGATGTGCATATTAAAGGGGTAGAAAGTGAGAGAGATGTGAAATGGAAAATCAATTGGCACATCTTTTAATATATGAATTATATTTTTTGAAATGTGGCGGGCTTTGAAGAGTATTATGTCAGTGTACATCATAGACTTATTTTAAACACTATTTCTTGTATTATTTCTTTTTGTGTGGAAAGTCATACCTGTCATATTTGCGGCAATAATATTGCTGTTGACCCTGTCACAAAAATATGAGTACTCCCCTCTCTGCACCATATTTCTGACAACAGGCTATTTCAATCCTTCCTAAAGCTAAGTTGTTTATATATAGGTTGTGTGTTAGTTCTATTTGGAGTAGATCCATTGAAATAAAGAGGATAGGATACAACCCATTGGGTTCCACCTTGTGCTATTTTCAGGATTGCCCACAGAAAATGTGGCTATTTTGAATATGATGAAAGAATGAATTCATTCTGCACAAATTTCCAGATTATGCAATCACTTTGAGCAAACTTCAAGGATGTGCCTATGGGACATCAGCTGCAAACAGAGGACGCACTGGCACAATGGGAATTAGTGGTTTCATACATGATCTCTGACATGACTAGGGCGGGTCAGTGGAACTGCTTTCTGTATTCTCCACTGATCTCTCCTTTTCCAGAAGGACACATACCACTTGCTAGTGGTCAAGTGGTGTAGGATATGTAGGAGCATATCAGCAGTGTAGCAGTGTAGGATATGGCCTATATTATATTTTGCTATCACACGTAAGTCCTTGCTTAAAAATCCCTATGCACCACCAAAAAGAGAACACAGATTTGCATTAAATCTGCAGATTTGCACTAAATTTGCAAGTATGGTTGCAACTTTTGAAATCATTACTATTTCAACTAATATAGAATCCCTCTCACCACAGTGGAGAAGGCTGTTCCCAGGTGACCTTTGTGCCTGCCTGCTCAGTCTCCTGTGCAAATGCTAAGTGCTGGCTGTTGATGGGCAGTTTCAAGGTCCCTGGTCTATATCCTTAGAGTTATCTTTAAACTGGACCTGGACTGGACCCTTGAAAGGATGCTTTCAAATAGAGGACTGTCTACCAACAGCACTTGAAATATAAGACTGTCCTCTCTTGAGTAGAACATGCAGGCACCCAACATGTCCTGGCTATCCATGCACTGGAAATGACAGGTATGATTTATGACCCATAGAAGAGGAGCATGCCAACATCAGATATAGGGTAGAGAAAAGTCCGAAAAACATGCCTAATCTTACTGAAACACTTGTGGTTTCTCTTGAAGCTTTTAAATGGTTTCTCTTCAGCAAGAAACTCCAAATTTAAGTTGAGATACTTCTTCCTAGAAGTATGGAAGATACTCTGATCTTACCAATTCCACTTGCAGAAGTTATTTTTCCATCACCCCAGAACACTTTGAACAACATTTGAAGAAAACAACATTAGGTATAAGTTATCATCCAGGAGATGGAAGCTTCTGATCTAGGGGGCTTCTGAATATCTTAAGCCCTACCAGGTTGCTGTGAACATGGCTGGAGGAGTGACAGGTGATTGTTGCCTTGGTATTTCTTGATCTAGACTGAGCTGTTGGGTGTGGGGCTTCAAAACCCATAGAATCCAATGGATCCCAGCCTCTCCTCTTCTCTGGCCTCTTCAGCACTATTTTGAGCCTCTCCTAAGTCTTCCAGGATTGCTTTTGTGACCCCAGGGGCCAGCTCCTGCAGTTCTGGCTGCAGAACCTGTGAAAAGGCATGGGAGGGGCATGGCGAGGAATCAGAATACCGGGTCTCCCTCCCAAAGTCCTAGAAAAGTCTATGGCTTCAGGAGGGGGACTTTGACAGAAGATGAGATTCCTGAAATGCTCTCCTGTGGGTCATGGGATTGCTGTGTTAATACTTTTAATTAGATAAATTGAACTGACAAATGATAAAAATGCAATTTTTAGAGTACTGAAAACAAACCTACATTTGTCAAGCAGAGAAGTAAATTCTGCCTAAACATATTCATCAAAACAGAGCTTAAATATGAAATATGCACAGCATGCAAAACAATTAATCCAACAATGAATCACTTAATCCTTTAGATTGAGAAAAAACTCCCAATACATGAGGGGTATGATGGTAGAGGAAGAGATGCATATTTTTATGAGCTCATACAAAGATATCCCAAAGCCATGGAAGAGCTCTGTTTTCCAAACTGAAGTGGACCAGGGGAAACTTGCTTCTCCTTCCGAGGCAGTGAGACACTTTATCACTGCAATAGGAAACCACAACAGCAGGCAACAAAGCCCAATCCTTCAGTCTGAGGTGATAAGCAATGCCTAAGTATGCTTAACTGCT